AAGTGAATTGTACGTACATCTTGACAGCAACAACGTATCAAATCAATATCCTTTCCTTTGTGACAAGCTGATATATAGGTACCCCTGGGTAGCGCGCTAAGTCTTTTGCAAACACCGGACTGAAGACACCGTTAAAGCTCCAATCCCGATTCTATTTTTATCAGTGCTTTAAAAAATGGCGAATTGAACGTTTTAAAAACTATAAACATAACCTCTACTCTCCATTGTAACTCTCTCACATCAGTCTTATATCTTTTTCCCCCACGAAATCGTTGTTTGTTTCTGTGGATTATATATTATATATTACACAGGGCGGGCGACCAGGACCCGAAGGGGTAAAAGCCTGAGTAGGCCCGTACCCCATCCCTAGAAGGTCCGGGACCTGGTCGGCTCACGAGTCCTGTATAAACCTATTGGACCTATTCACAAACCCCAGGATTGTGGACCATTTTATCCTGGGGAGTGTTTTGGTTATGTCCTCTCCTTCGAAAGTATTAAATCTTTCNATATTAAATGCATTTTCGAAACCAGACTTCCGCTAAAGAGGGGGTCCAGAAATGACATTTCTCATGACTGAGTCTACCTGATGATAAATTTTTACAAAACTTTACTATTATTATTATTATCTAAAAGATATCACAACAGGTAACTTCATCAGATTTCGTGGTCCGATTGACGAAATAGCATTCAATTAATTAATCTTTATGTAAGGTAATTCAGAAATCGTGAGATGCGGTTTGGTGTGACGTAGGTTTCAGAAAAACATTTTCTTTATCGTGCCAACGTTTCGATCTTTGTTGAGATCATCTTCAGGGCCTTGTGTTGTCTGCATTTCAGCAAAAAAAGGATTCTGAAGGACATCGCCAACAATGAGAAGAAACTCGCATCGGCTATCAACCAGAGAACTTTTTTGCTGAAATGCAGACAACACAAGGCCTGAAGATGATCCCAATAAAGATCGAAACGTTGGCACGATAAAGAAAATGTTTTTCTGAAACCTACGTCACACCAAACCGCATCTCACGATTTCTGAATAATTATCGATTAACGGTCACTAATCACCACACATTTGTGTAAGGTATTGGTTGAGATAAAAAAGACAGTGTCACGAACGGGATTCGAACCCCACGACCATCGGCTAAATTTGCCGCACCTCTACCACTTGAGCTATCGTGACTTCGATCCACTCGGACACTAACTTCCCAACTCAATCCAACCTTTCGAATTTTCCCTCGGAAAATGGCAAAAAGGAGGGAAAATTCAAAAGGTGGGGTTGAGATGGGAAGTTAGTGTCCGAGTGGTTCGAAGTCACGATAGCTCAAGTGGTAGAGCAGGGGCGTATTTAGCCGAGGGTCGTGGGTTCGAATCCCGCTCTTGACATGACTTTTTTATTTCAACTAAAAACCTTAATTTGTTGTATTATACGTTTTGTGTGTGATATGTATGTTATTGATATTGTATAAATATTATATATATATACATTGTATAAATGTAGTATATTGTGTAAATATACTTTTTTATTTCAATCAAAACCTTAATTAAAGATTAATTAATTATAACAGATAAATTTTCATAGTTTTTCGGGACATTTAGCTTTTTGTAAAATTATGAGATTTTAACTGCTAGTTAATGAACTGGCAGTTTTTCTTTTGTACGATCGAGGACGTTTTTTATGGATAAGACGACAATGAAACTGCATCAGTATTTATTGTTTAATGACTATTTGGTACCGCTGTGGTACAAACAATAAAAGTAATCCAATTGTTCTATATAACAGTCAGAGTTTTTAAATTCGACGTATTTTTCACACTGTCTCATGAAATGCTTCGAACCATTCTCGTTTGAAAACATCAAATCCCACAATGTTTCCCCCGTTTTGTCTGATTGAAATTTACACCCCTCCCGACCTACATAGCCGCATTCGGGAACTGATCCCAGTGATTAAATATTTAGGAACATCCCCTTGCATTACTGCCTTCGATGGTGAATAATTCATTGAAGACAACTCCCCCTTGTCACTAGCTCCTGATTACTTTACAATTTTAATCAACCGCTTCCCTTCACCCGACGAGCACTTCGGGGCTTAAGCGCTCCTGCCTCTCAAATCGACTCTGATTTATTTCGTGAGATCCTTATGCTCCACATCCTTAATTTATTCCCAATTTATGGCAAACTGTGATGTCGTAATTTTATTTCCTTGATTTATCTTATTTTAGGAAAGGAATCACATTTTGATGGAATTGGAGAAAAATGTTTCCAATTATTTATGTTTCTTGAGTAGTTGACAGTTAATATAACCATGATATACAGTATTATTACATTGCATTTATTTTTTACATACAGAAAACTAACACGTCAAAATATTATAGAAAGATTACATTAAACAATATCACAAAAAATGGTTTTAATATTTATTGCTCACCATTCACTAGTATGGTAAATTTATTCACATTTTCTCACCCTTACAAAGACCATCAAATAATGTAATGAAGAAATTGTTTTTTGGCTCGTTTTATTTAATTTCTTGAAAAAAAATTGGGTATCTACAAGGACCAGCCGATCCCCCGCGACCAAAAATACGAGACGAACTCCAAACGAAACGGGGACATCACCGCGCATGAAAAACCTCCCCTAAAGGAAATACATTAGTAAAACCATAACCGCTATTGAGGATATTGCATACACTGCTATCATCCACACCCCCCGAGCCCTGGGGTAGAAAAGACACGGAAATGCTCCGCTTTACTGAGCAGACAGCACCCCCGCTCCCGAGACGCGACTTACTGTCCAACTCAGTAAAAACAGGCAGACCAAACTGATCGGTACCGAGCAACTTAGTTGTTCGTAAAAACGAATAGCGTGGATTTTTTACACTGCAACTTGCAACAGCTGGTACACCTATCACAATCGTTGCTCAAAAATATCAGGATTTCATTATTAAACGTACTAATTATTAACAAATCGTGAGATGCGATCTGGTGTGATGTAGGTTTCAGAAAAACATTTTCTTTATCGTGCCAACGTTTCGATCTTTATTGAGATCATCTTCAGGGCTCAAAGTGTTTGTCGTCTGTGTAATTGTGCCATTCTTGCGTGTCGTGTTGAGAGTTATATTACATCTACTTTTTCTTAGTCATATGAGGTATTTTGTAACTTTTAAACTCAGCCAATGCCTAGGAGGAAGTTCATGCGTTCCTTTTTATTTTTCTCTTATTGCGTTAATAGCTGATCTATAACTGTTCAGTGCCTTTCGACATTCTAAACTTCACATCAAGTAAGAAAGTTATTGCAGCTGGATCTGATTCGACAGCTGATCATGGTTGCGCTTTCAGTTTGTCTAACCCCAATTATTTCTTAACATGACAAGTTATACGTGGGAACCTTCTTGTTTCAGAGTAATAATTAAAGTTAGGCTTATAAACAAGCTTAGTGTTCTACTAAAGCGTATTAATTATTCGTAAAATTGCCTAGAATTTACGTACTTAACACCCTTTGAATGTAGTATCTGATAAAACCATCTTTTATTATATACTCTATGCAAACGTTGAAATATGATAATAGTAATTATTCAGAAATCGTGAGATGCGGTCTGGTGAGACGTAGGTTTTAGAAAAACATTTTCTTTATCGTGCCAATGTTTCGATCTTTATTGAGATCATCTTCAGGGCGTGGGATTTACAAACATAGTTTAAATTTAACAAATACATGTAGGATGTGGAAAAAAGGGAATTTATACAATGCAAAAAATATTTTTTATATTCAATCAAAGTATTTTTACTCGCTCAAAGTGTTTGTTTTCTGTGTGATTGTGCCATTCTTGCGTGTCGTGTTGAGAGTGCCAGTGAGATGAGACTTCCTTCCTTCCCCACCCCTTCAAAATCCAACGTATATAAACATAAAACAGCAATATCTCACTGGCACTCTCAACACGACACGCAAGAATGGCACAATTACACAGAAAACAAACACTTTGATTAAGTAGAAATATTTGATTGAATATATAAAAAAAAATTTTTTTGCATTGTATAAATTCACTTTTTCCACATCCTACATGTATTTGTTAAATGTAAACAATGTTTGTAAATCCCAGGCTCTGAAGATGATTTCAATAAAGATCGAAACGTTGGCACGATAAAGAAAATGTTTATCTGAAACCTACATCATACCAGACCGCATCTCACGATTCTGAATAATCATCGACAAACGGTCACTAATCACCACACATATGATAATAGTTATGAAATATTCAACAAAGTATCAATTTATATATTTTATTTTTACATAGTCGATTTAAAGAAAACTATGAAAAATGGTACTTTTTTAAAAAGGTTTTACTATTTAATTTCTTTATTTTAGTGTGTAGTTTGATATTTTACAGATTGTGAAATGCGGTCTGGTGTGAAGTAGTTGTTGAAAAACATTTTCTTTATTGTACCTACGTTTTCATCTTTATTGAGATCATCTTCAGGGCCAGAAGTTTATAAACATTGTTTAAATTATACACATGTTAGATGTGAATATGAATTTATACAGTGGTGTACACAATGTAGAAATTTGAGGTTTAATCAGAGCATTTGTCCTCACTCAAATTGTATTTTCTGTGTGGATGTGTCATTGCTGTATGTCGTGTTGAGATAATAATGTTTTTTTGTTTATATACGTTGGATTTAGTAGGAATGTGGAAAAGAATAGGGATAGAAATTCATTTTTCTATGAGATGAAAGGGGCCGACAATGGAAAAAAAGGGTAATGGTTTGTCATTCGGGCCTAGTTAGCCTTATTATAGTGGGAATCATGAGGGAGAGGAGAGAAATTGTTGGGGATATAGACTATGTAGAATTGTTGGATGTGTGGAGTTTTCTATGGTATATTATATGTTTTGTGTGTGATATGTATGTTATTGATATTGAATTTGATTTATGATATTAGCGTAGCAGCTGATTTTACATGTGTCTGTTCTGTAATTAATGCTGTGTTTATTTCTATTGATGTAAATCATTTCTAAAAGTTACGGTTATGTTTGTTCTGTTCTGTGTTTAAAATTTTTGGGGAGTTGGAAACGAAATTGTGTTGGTGTTCAAAATGGTGAGTAGCCAGTGCTGTAGGATTTAGTTTGGATATTTTTTGCAATCATAGATATGTTGTTTTACCTTCTTATAAAAAACATTAATATCTCACTCAACACGACACACAATAATGACACATCTACACACAAAACAAAGACTTTGAGGGAGTACAAATTCTTTGATTAAAACATTTATTAGGTTTCGCGGTCCGCTTGACCAAGTAAATGCTTTTCAATTAATTAATCTTTAATTAAGGGTTTGGTTGAGATAAAAAAGTCAGTTTTTGAAATTTAAAAAATGGCAAAAAGGAGGAAAATTCAAAAGATGGGGTTGAGATGGGAAGTTAGTGTCCGAGTGGATCGAAAGCACGATAGCTCAAGTGGTAGAGCAGCGGCGTATTTAGCCGAAGGTCGTGGGTTCGAATCACGCTTGTGACACTGACTTTTTTATCTCAAACAAAACCTTAATTAAAGATTAATTCTTTGATTAAACCTAAACTTTCTATATTGTGTACATCATTGTATAAAATTATATTCACATATTACATGTGTATAATTTAAACAATGTTTATAAATCCCAGGCCCTGAAGATAATATAATAAATAAATAAAGATCGAAAAGTTAGCACGATAAAGAAAATGTTTTCTAAACCTACATCAATCCAGACCACATATAACAATTTGATTAATAATTTTTTTGGTTTAATTTGGTGGTAAAATATTTTAAATCGAAGTTGTTAGTTATTTATTGACCACAAAAACACCAATTTTTTTGGGTCGTATATTTCAGGTACAATAAACTTCGGGCAACGTCCCTGGTCCCGCTTTAAAGAATATATGAATTAAAAGAAATAATTAGTGTTTTTAGTTCAAGAAATAACCAACAACCTGGGTTTATAATTATTATTTAACTGTTAAACCAGATATTTGTTCTTTTTTATTGTAAAATTTAAAATAAGATAAAAGGCTAAGTTAGGGGGCAAAACATTTCTGAGGACACTAACTAAATTATTTTCACAAGGATTAAAGAATTTGACAAAGAGTAAACAAAACAAAATAATTATATTCTAATTTATTAGTTGATAGTTTTATTTTATATTTTCAAAAACTCTGATTTTTCTGTTTAAAACGATTCAGTCGGTGATTGTTAGATCGATGTGTATTGCGTAAAGAAAATTTCACTACCCCCAGTTGAAAAATCCCTTTGGGACGATGTCGTCCGGAGGTCCTAAGAATAAAAACCAGAGGGAAGAAAGTGTTTCAATTACGCGTCCATCGAGTGACGGCTCGCTTGGTTTTATGATGCCGGGCCCATCTCGACCCACACGGACACGAAGCCACTCATGTCGGATGAACGAGACCCGAAGCGCCTGGGGACACGCCGTTCGATCCCGCCCCTGCTGATTGCGCGCCCTCCCCCGAAAGCAGCCCCTCCGGGTTATGACCCCAGAAGCACATTTGCCCCCGATCCATTCAATCATGCCCAGAGGAGATCACGCCACTGGATATTGTCGTTATTCCCCTGGGACATCTCATCCTCCCGGCTCCCTCATCGTCCCGTTCAACCTTGCTTTCTCTTTTACTGGGTCTTTATTCTACTTGACCCGAATCCCGGAAAAGTGGCAAATGAAACTATTGCGACTTTTTTGGCCTATAAATATCAAACTACCTTCGCATATAATAACATGACAGATAAACACTGTGACCACAGCATAATATATAGGTACAGAACTTCTCAGTAAGTGACTAATGGCAAAATTTTACTGTGAAGAAGTGTTGTCACTGGGAAACTTCCCCTACATCCGAACAACACATTCTGCATATTTATTTAATCCAATATTTGTAGCTGTAAATAACAAATGAATTATTAAATATAGGTGTTTATCATTGCACGGTACTTTTACCTTATGCTTTTAAGGCAATAAATACGTATTCAGCTAGAATGAAGGCGTTATTTTAATGGACAAAATCCTACAACTGCTCTCATTGCTTTTAAGATACCGGTAAGTTCATCATTAGATGAAAGCTTTCGAGTTCTTGTTGAAGCCCGAGACCTGATGCTGTTCTCTACCCACGTGATTTTGATATTAAATTTAGTACCAAGTTTCCAAAAAAATATTGGAGTCGCCTTATTTTCACGTCGATATAGGTTTTATGAAGATTTGGTTTGGAAAAAACTCACGATCACATGGACGAACAATTTAAAAAAATCCCTGATTTAACCTTTCATATGTGTACACCAAGAGTTATAGTTTTAAAGAACAAACTAAAGTGAAACCACCGAGACACTCTAATCAAGAAAGCGAGAAGCCGATGCTCGTCTGACAGAAAAAAACTTATTTTGACCTTAGTCTTGAAAAAGAAAGCAAATTCAGTTGTAAAAGTCCTTGGTAATGTTGAGACAGAGTATGTTTTCAAGAAAATTTGAGATCGCCTTTAAAAAAATAAATACGTCCATCTGCCGACATAGTTAAGATTGTTTTGCCCTGATGATGACATGAAAATAAGCGGAAACTAGTCAGTTGCTTTCTTCTTCAAGACCATACCTTGATTCAGAATGTTCGTGATTGAAAAAGTGGTCGATATTTTTAATATTGAAAATAAAACAATAAGGTCTTAAAGAAAAAAAAAAACAAATTCAGTTTAACAATTCTTGGTAATATTAGGATAGAGTCGGTTTTCAAGAAAATTTGAGATCGCCTGAAAAAACTTAAATATGTCAAACTGTAGACATAATTAAGATTGTTTTGCCCTGATGATGACATGAAAATAAGCGGAAACTAGTCAGTTGCTTTCTTCTTCAAGACCATATCTTGATCCAGAATGTTCGTGATTGAAAAAGTGGTCGATATTTCTAATACTAAAAATAAAACAATAACGTCTTAAAGAAAAAAAACAAGTTCGGTTTACCAATTCTTGGTAATGTTGGGATAGAGTCGGTTTTCAAGAAAATTTGAGATCGCCTGAAAAAACTTAAATATGTCAATTTGTAGACTTATTTAAGATAGTTTTTCCTTGATAAACACTTGGAAAAAAGTGGAAAGCTTGACAGTTGATTTCTTTTCAAGACCATACCTTGATTCAGAGTGTTCGTTAGTGAAAAATGGTCGATATTTCTAAAACTGAAAATAAAACAAGGCAGGTAGGTAGACCAAAATTACCTAAACCGATAAAACTACGTGCGCTCAAATATGCTAGTTTGCTTTTTCCTCGTCCATTTGCATTTTGTTTGATGTATGAAATATTAAAAGTGTGAATAGAAAATAATAAGACAAAAAAGGATCGTGTATAAACGACAACAATGATTACTATTATTAACGCTGTTTAATATGTATTTTCAGGCTTTGTACGTGAAAAGACGTGACGAAAACGAAAACGAATTTGAATAATTCAATATACCCCATCTTTATAAGACATGGTGATTTCAAATTCTTAAAGCATTTTAAAAAGGCCCGGGCCTTCTGCCAGGGGTAAGGTTCCTGTAGTAAAGTCGGCAATGTAAATGAGCCCTTTGGGATGCCCTCTACCCCTCATATGAATACTGTAGACCGGCCGAGGTCGGCTCAAGGGGTGACATTAGCATAAGTATATGTCAAAGGTGGACGATCCAATATCCCTACCCACTGCGGTGTATGACTTTCAAAGTGACTTCGCAGATTACTCAGACCTCTCCATTTTAAACACCTTGAGATTTGTTTTTAGAACTGTAAAACGCACGAAGAACCTCTGCTAAATCTTTCTGGTCATAATAACAACCAAAAAATATATTGTTTTCAAAATTATAACCATTGGTCTGACTCTTAAATTTCTTATTTTCTACAATAATATAAAAACCATTAGATTGCGATTGAAAGTACGAGGTAAATATAACTAAATTCAGCAATAATTGTAAATTAAGAATAAATACGTTCAGTTTTACTTAGAACAACCTATTAGCTAATTAGTAAGTCTTAAGCTTCTTATAAAAATTTTAAGTATTTCCCCCCAATGTTATGTAACGTATATATATTATTTGTGTTTGGTGGTCTATAAATATTGATAATACATAAATAATTATTCCTCCAATTTTTTACCAGTTAGATTATTAAAAATGTCATTGAACAATATTACCTCAAAAATTTATATTTATTTATTTAAATTTCCAAGAAAGCCGAGCACGTTCAAAATATTGAGTAGCATATCTTAACCGAAAGTACAAAAGATTTTTGAAAAAGTTATTGAAGGTGAAATTTATTGAACTTGAACAATAAGCGAAGAGGGATGTTTAATGAAAAACGGAGGAAATAATTAAGACAGAGGTCGCAGACGCTTCTAACAAGAGACTCCCCAAGGGGCTTCATTATTTTGTTATTAATTTGCCGCGAAACTTCAATGCTTCATCGATTCTAATTTAAAATTCAGACGGCGTATTGTAAGCTCGTGCCTTAATACTTTGAAGCGCTCCAGACCAACTCCAAGTCCGAATAATTCAATATTGTTTCAAAAGAGGAAAGGAGCTCGCGGTTAGGGCCGGGCTTGGATAAGAAAGGAATACGGTAATGAAAACAACCAGAAGAACGCTTTTATACAAGCGGTTGTACGTTCTTTTTAAAAAGAATCTGCTCATAGTTAACTATTATCAACGATCCGGATTTCGAGCTAATACGTCATCATCAGGTTGAAATAATTTACGACCACCTCTCTCGACATGAATTGTAAGAGTACTTAAAATTCATTCTCCGTAAGAGACTATTATAATTCATGTCGAGAAACATGTCTGTAAATTCCTTCAACCTGATGATGACCTGCAAGCTCAAAATCTGGATGATTGAAAACAACTAGCTGTGAATAGGATTTATCTTTTTAAAAAGATTGAAGGTAGAAACAGATTTCTTCTTGAAGGGTGACTTACAAGAAAAAAACGCATGATGGATTAGAACCACGTTATAATATTTTTTTCTTCAAATTATTTACTGTGTTAAAATTCCAAGTGCTATCAAGGGATTCGATCCAAGAGTCAACTAAGCTATTTCTCATTGTGT